TATCGCCAAATATCACAGTTGATCAGGGGGGGTATGTTGGCTGTTGGCAGGATATAAGTGTGTGTGGTACATATTTGAGTGTGTGAGGTATAGGTGTTGAGCCTCTAGCAGGTAAGCAGGTAGAGGTATATTTAGGGCCTGTTGGCTAGGTGTGTGAGGCCTGTTGGCGGGTGAAGTAGTTTCCTGTTGGCAAGGTGAGTGGTGTGAGGTATGTTGCTTGTGTGGTTTGTTGGCAGGGTAGTGTGAGGTATATTTGTGAGGTGAGGTGAGTGAGACATATTTGGCAATTGGCCGAATGAGGTGAGGGTTTGTTGGTGAGGTGAGTGAGGTTTTATTTGGCGAGGTGTGAGGTATATTTTGAGGAGTGGTGAGTTGGCGAGGTAAGTGAATATATTTGGCGGGTGGTGAGAGACATATTTGGCGGAGTGAGTGGGGTGCATAGCAGGTGAGACATATTTGGCAGAGTAAGGTGAATATATTTGGTTGGGTAAGTGGGGATTTGGTGGCGGGGAGTGAGGTTTATTTGGCGAGTAAGTGACATATAAGTGGTGGGGTTTGTTTGGCATATTGAGTGAGCATATTTGTGAGTAAGTGAGATATATTGGCAGGAGTAAGTGAGTTTATTTGAGATAGGGTGGTGGGGAGGTGAGACATATTTGGCGGGTGAGAATGGAGGTAAGTTTTTATTTGGCGAGGTGAAGTGGGAGACATGTTTTGAGGTAAGTGAGACTATATTTGGCCGAGGTCAAGGAACATGTTTTGGGTGAGTGGAGGTTTGTTGGCGAGGTGAGTGAGACATATTGGCGTAGAGGACATATTTGGCAGGTAAGTGAGACATGTTGAGGTGAGTTATTTGGCGAGGTGGAGACATATTTAATTAGGTAAGGTGAGAATTTGTTGGCAGTGATGAGGACTATGTTGGCGAGGTGAGTGAGACATATTTGGCAGTGAAGTGAGAATATTTTGGCGGGTGAGGTTTAGACATGGCGAGGGGTGAGACATATTTGGTTGAGGAGTAGGAGTTGAGACATTTGGCGGGGTGAGTGTAGGGTATGTTGTGGAGGTGAAGACATATTTGGCAGGTGAGGTGAGGGAGGTATATTTGGCGAGGTAAGTGGGATTTATTTGGAGTAAGTGAGGAACATATATTTGTGGGGTTTATTGGCCGGAGTAAAGAGGTAAGTGGAGACATATTTGGCGAGTGAGGTGAGGTTTTGAGGTGAGACGATTTGTCAGTAGTGAGGTGTATTTGGCCGAGGAGTGGGGTTTGTTGGCAGGTAGAAAGTGAGGTATATTTGGCAGGCGAAGAAGTGCAGGGTGAAGGGTTTGACTAACCCAAATAGTGAGTTTATTTGGCTGAAGGTAAGTGAGGTATATTTGGCAGGTGGGAGACACTTTGGTAGAGGTGAGACATTTTTGAGCCAAGTGAGACATATTTGGCAATAAGTGGTATATGTAGAGGATGGTGGGATTTGGTGGCAGATGGTGAGACATATTTAGTTAAGCGAGGGGTAAGTGAGTGACATTTGAAGTGGGGTATTTGTGAGTAAATTGAGTATATTTGAGGTAAGTGGGCTTATTTGACGAGGGTGTAAAGTGGGACATGTTGTGAGTAGTTATTTGGCGAGATGAGTGAGATATATTTGGCGAGGTGAGTGGACATATGAGGCAGGTGGAGGTGAGTGAGGTTTATTTGGCGAGGTAAGTGAGATATATTTGGCGAGGTGAGTGAGACATATTTGGCGAGGTGAGTGAGACATATTTGGCGAGGTAAGTGAGGTATATTTGGCGAGGTGATTGAGACATTTGGCGAGTTTGGCGAGGCGAATGAGACCTAATTGGCTATACAACCATCATCTCAAACCATCATCTTCGTCGTCGTCTCCTACAGGTTGAGAACTGCCTCTCGACGTATGACCCCCATGCGTGCGTCGTCGTGTACTCAATCACGGACAAGGGGTCGTTCAAGAAGGCGGAGGACACCCTGACTTACCTGTGGCGGGAGAATTACTCGAAGGACAAGGCAGTTATCCTAGTGGGGAATAAGGTCGATCTTGCCAGGTCCAGGATCGTCAACAACAGTGGTGAGTGACCTGGGGTAGTGTTCTAGGGTAGTGACTTGTACAGTGACCTGGGGTAGTGACCTGTTGAGTGACCTGGGGTAGTAACCTGTTTAGCGACCTGTAGAGTGACTTGATTGAGTGACCTGGAGTAGTGACCTGGGGTAGTGACCTGTTTTGTGACCTGTAGAATGACTTGATTGAGTGACCTGGGGTAGTGACCTGGGGTAGTGACCTGTTGAGTGACCTGGTGTACTGACCTGTTGAGTGAACTGGGATATTGACCTATATAATGATAACCTGGAAACACACACACACACACACACACACACACACACACACACACACACACACACACACACCAATACCCTCCCTGTACGGTGTAAAACATAAACATTGACCCCCATTTCCCTTCCTATGTTGAAACAACCTATAAACACTCGTACTAAACATTGAATCTAAAGTGGATAAATAAACACACACAGACTTACACACACGCAATAACAGTTACTGCTTCCATAAACTCACTTCAGAAATACTTAGGAATATATACAGTAAAATTTGTGAATATTATTTGCCCAGTGTCCTTAGGTTATAAATATCGCTTCGGTTTAGTCTTTTGTTTTCTGGTTACAGTGATAAGAGAGAGAGAGAGATACTGGTTAATAAAAGAGATGGAGGAGAGGATGAAGATGATTTTAGGGAAGATTTAGAGAGGCTGGAGAATGAGGAATAAATAGGAGAATAATGATAACTAGAATAATAATAATAATAAAAATAATAATAATAAAAATAATAATAATAATAATAATAATAATAATAATAATAATAAAAATAATAATAATAATAATAATAATAATAATAATAATAATAATAATAATAATAATAGAATGATAATTAATATGACAAGGAAGTAATGATATGTATATAAATGGAAAAGAATGACGAGTGTAATAAAAAAAATTCTTGCATATGCCGGGCGTGTAAAAGTCTACGGTGCTAGCCTGCCGCGTTTCACTACCACCATCCGTCCACACACACACACATTCTCTCTCTCTCTCTCCAGCTTTCCCATTAATACTCTCCCCCCACACTGATGTCTCTTTCTTATCTCCCCCTACACTAATATCTCTTACTCCTCACACACTTTTGTCTCTCTCTTCTCACACACTAATGTCTCTCTCTCTTATCTCTACAGAGGGAAAGTCTCTTGCGAGGAGCCACGAAAGTAAATTTATAGAGACTTCCAGCGGCATACAGCACAACGTGGACGAGCTGCTGGTGGGCGTGGTGAAGCAGGTGAGATAATGGTTACTCTCTCTCTCTCTCTCTCTCTCTCTCTCTCTCTCTCTCTCTCTCTCTCTCTTTTACTTCTTCGTACTAAAGAATTGATTATTGTGCTTAGAAAGTTTGCTGTCAGGATATATTGTATTTTTTTGAAGAATATTCTATAACACACACACACACACACACACACACACACACGTACCAATAACCATCTCTCCACCATCAGGTTCGTCTGCGTTTGGCCGCCCACCGGAAGCGCCTGAAGAAGATGTCAGCCTCGAAGACCTCCCTGAGCCTCCACGCGGCCAAGGAGCTCCTCAATAAGATGTGTCTCCTAGATAACAAGTCTAAGTCGTGTGAGAACCTCCATGTCTTGTAGGAGAGTCTCCAAGGTGTCAGGAGCCTCCTTCAAAATCCTCCACGACTTCTCCTGGGTGTTTTTTGGAGACCCAGCGGAGAGGACAGTGGAGTAACTTGGTATTCTTGGATGGTATCGGGAAGCTCTCCTCCATCCACCACCCCTACGAGGTAAGACCCATTCATGACTCCAAGAGGAAGGAACCTGAAGGAACCTAAAGAAACTTGGAGGAATCTGATGGAATCTGGAGGAACCTGGAGGGACTTGGAGGAGCCTGAAAGAATCTGGAGGAACCTGATGGAACCTGAAGAAACCTGGAGGAATCTGAAGGAACCTGAAGGAACTTGGAGGAATCTGAAAGGAACCTAAAGAAACCTGAAGAAACCCGAAGTAACCTGAAGAATCCTGAAGGAACCTCAAGGGGGTTACTCACTGAGGGTAGTCAATCAGGAGAGCTTCCCTCCATCCATGTATTACAAGATGTCATGTCAACGTCCATGCCTTGTAAACATGTTAGCTTTTTCTCCTAGTTAAGTGTAAGAAGTTCTCTCCCTCTCTCTCTCTCCCGCTTGGAGCTTGACTGTGTGACCATCTCTGGTCTGTGTAGTGAGTTGTCCTTCGGCAGGATAATAAACCATGGCTCCCTGGTGCTGCTCTCTGTGTAGGTGTGGCCAGTCTCATGTATCGCTACGGGGAACGGATTTTTTTTTTCATTATAAATTGTCAATATCAAATCGTATGTGTATTAGCTGTAAAGTCCTGATGCAGTATGTGGCCTCTTAAGAGCTGGGTCACATGT